CAGTGTTCAGCTGACTTTTTAATATTTTTATAACTCTCATTCAGATAACATCCCCAAATACTTAGTGCTGGAAAAATTCTCAATGGCTTCAAGAGCAGAACCCGTAACGCTTTTGTAAAGTTTACAGCTACTGCATTTTCAGTGAGGATATGACAGACGCTATTGCTGAGGTTGTGATTTTACCTGGTAAATCCCTAGGGCTGGCATAGGATAAATGCCTTTAGCCAATTCATAGACTGGAAATGGTTTGAAGAAGAACTTTGGTAGCAGACTAGAACTAGTACAATACCTGAAGTGTTTCCCTCAGCTCCCTTAATACCCTAGTAGCCCTTTGGTTCATTTAAACAGGGACTTTCCACCTTCCCGTTCCTTAAGAGATACTCTTAGCCTCTAGGCATAGGCAGCCTTTGGGACACTACTGCTTATTCCCGTGAAAGTATCGCTGAAAGACAGAGAAGTATTGTTGCAAAGCAGAGGAAGGTATTCTGACTTGCAAAGATGTCAGCAGAGTTTTCCTCTTCCCTTAGAAGAGGTGATAGAGCTGACAGGGTTTAGGCAGGTGAGTTCTGTTTCATTTACTGTGGTCTCCGTCCTGCTCCAGCTTAGCAGAAAGAATTTCCAGCCCAGTTTTACAGTAGTAGTGTATTTAATCTCCTCCCTGACACAGCCTTAGTGCTGGAAGCGCTGAGACTCAAAATGCTGATTCTTAACATTAAATTAGCTACTACAGGGTTCTCAAACAACGTTCTTGTGACTGGTCACTCAGAAATCTTCTCAGAGTCTACAGAAGAAGTTTTTTTTTCAATTTAAACAGTAGTGAGGAAGGAGCTATTAAGGAAGGTGTGCCGGGAAGGATCGGTGGTCATCCTGGCCCTCAGAAAGGAAACACGAAATGAGCACTGCATTTGGGCTCTGCTTGTCTTTCCCTGGTGTGCCCCTTCCTAAGCAGAAATGCTGTTACTAAGCGCTTCAGATAGTTGTGTGAACATCGCAGAGAGACATCTGAGGTGTTAACAAAACATTCTTATACAGAACCAGTGTTCACATCTCATTTTACTACGTTACACTACACCCTATGTCGCTGCGGCCGTGCGTGGGGCACATGCTTTGTACTAAACCAAACATTGAAATGGCTTTGGGTTGAAAACCGACGTCTACAAGGGAAAGGATTTGTAATGTGATTTAATTGATTTATGTAATTGAAGACCAAAACAAAATACCACTGTTACGTACTATAAACGAGTCCTTTGTCTTCTACAAAAATTAATTTGTTTACATCCCCTACAGCCATGCTGAGAGGACAGAATAAATGGCAACTCCGCTTTGGGCCTATGTGAAAAAAAAAGAGTCAGGAAAGGGAGGATGAGAATGGCCAGAGGGTTAGGAGAAGGACGAGGGGAGCGCTCAGATAAAAAGCAGCCCAGGGGAAGATTACAAGTTCTCAGAAAAACAGATCAATAATGATGTGAACTATGCAGCTGCATGTGCAACAATTTGCATTTTGAAAACATTTTTCCCCTGCTACTTCACTGTGCCCAAGGTATCTAGAACACTCCACAATAGATACATCACCACCTCTGAAAGGGCGATATTTTCATGAAAAGCCAAGATCCTGAGGATGCCACCCCATTTTTCAGTATAGGACAACTAGAAACACCAGCTTACCTTCCCCTCCTAGCCTGGCTCAGGAAGATGCAAGGGTCTGAGACTGCTCTGATTTACAAGCGACTCCCAAACAACTTTCCACTGACTTTGTCTCCTCCCTTTTCCCTTTTACCTCCCTAGACCTTTCACCCTTTGGTTCCCTTGGGAAAACCATGACGAATTTCCACCTGGAAATTTCAGACTCGGTGTTAGGTAGTCTCTTGTTGTTGTTGATGGCCTTTCCTCTCCACCCTCTTTCTCTTCACCACACTGAGACTTTTGACAAGGTCAAGCAATCCATCTTTGTTTCTATATTTATAGTGGGAAGCTACCTTTAGCAGTACAACAGCATTTCAGAGACAAACATTAGGCAAGACAGCTCCTGGTACAGAGACCTGGCCCGGTAACATGCAACTTATTGTGAAAACCTGAAACCAGCCCGAATGTTCATACAAAACACGTGCCCACAGGCTGCGCGCAGATTTCTGACCACAGAGAAAGTCCTCCTGAATGGTTCCACGAAACACAAGCTGTCCTAAACAACACTCCACATCATCTTGCCAGCTTATTGAGACAGAAAGACATGAAGTGGCTTTGGTGTAAATTTGTCACTCAGGACTGCCGTGCAATAGCACCAAAAGCCACCAAGTGCAGCTGCACTGAATGAGGGACGACTGAGTTAAAGACAGTCAATAAACATTACCTAGAAGGAATAAACTCAAGGGCCAATGCCAGCAGCCCTGTCTGGCTGAAAGTACTGGTTGGATGTATTAAAGGTGAGTGACAGACACAAAGAAGTGAAAACTGAATGCTGATAGTACTTACTGGAGAGAGACCTTACTTATGAAGGGAACTGAACAAGCTACCAAAGAAGTCCTGCAGAAGAGGGAATTACAGGCAACTGAAAATGGAGATGAAGGTGATGGGTTAAGAAATGGCCATTAAGTATCTGAAAGCAAGTGCAAAAAGTAGTAATGGAAACCTTCTTGGGAAAGAAAAAAGTTTATCTACCAGCACAAGAAAGAAAGCTCTAGCAGTAGTTGTTACAGCAAGATGGAAAGCGAAATTAAAGCAAGCAGTGGCTTATCTGGGCTCAGGCCAGAATGCTGACTACTCTGTGCAGGAACAAGTGTTTGCTTATGAAATGATATGATGAAATGCTTATGGTGTGACACTGTCCCAAGGAAGATTGCTGTCAATGTGAATGAAAACTACACAAAGGCTCTGGAGGAACATGGATATTAGACTTCAGTTCTTTGCTGCTCTTACTTACATTTACATTCAGCATGTTGTCTTATTTAGAAAGAATAAAATTACTCTAAGGTCAAGTAGCCTGGCTGTGGGTTTGGTTCAAAAGCATCACAGATCATCTTGTAAAGCAACTCGACAATAAATAGGTGCTTCCTAGAGGGAATGTCACCTTCGGAGTCTGTCACCTCCAATTCATTAATATTTCCTTGAAACTGTACCTCCCAAATTTTCATTTTACACTGACTTCTACAGCATCCCAGGATTTAGAAGTGTGCATGGTGGCTGCCTGAGGAGTCCGAGTATCCCAATTTCATGGACACAGATCATATTTAAAAGTTGACTTTAAATAAATCTCGTATTTATTTAGGCTATTTCAAAAGAGCATTGGGAAGCGTGGGGAAACCAACTCGGTACGATTTACACTCATCTGAGACTGCTTTAAGCTACTGCCATGGGAGCAGTTTGCTAGTGGGTTCCCTACTGCCTGGGCCTCCATAAGGCACGGAGTATTCCCAGCCAAATCCTTACTGTTGCCTAACCTAGCCGTAACCCTATAACCTACAATCCCAATGCCTGTAATCCCTGCCAATGACAAGGGAGCTGTGCTAGCTCTGCCTCCTTCGCAGGGACCTCTCCAAGGGTCTTTTGCCAGACCAGTAGCGCAGGTTTCCTTTATCACATCTTTCTGTGGGGGCAGTATGGATGGGCTGGAGCTGATCCTTGAGAATCTTCTTCTTTTCATTCCCCCAGGGGACATAAATACAGGCTTGGGTTTGGGGTTTTTTGACTATGCAAATACCACCCCCCTCACCTAGTGATACACACAGCCACAGCTTCGAAGATACCGTTTTTTCACTTTCCTTTCCTGCTTTGTCTTTCTGGCACAAGGAGAAATCCTTGGGTTTAAAATGTTGTTGGCCTTCAAGAGCGAATTGTCTGAATCTGGTTTTCCTCATTATTTATTTGATTTCTCACAGCGACTGACCTCCAAATGCAGCACAAGGAGTAAAAGCAGTAATAATATCACCCCCAGCTGTCCCTTTAAGTTTGCATTAGTGAAGTGGATCCCAATAAGTCAGTAACATAAGTTATTTAATGTCCGCAAAACCTCAGAAATCTGTTCAACAGCATGACCTCTAGATTAGCATCATGTTTTTCACCTGGCTGTCAAGTTGAGGGATTTCTTCTGTGCACTACTGAGGGCCGTTAAAATCTCTTTCCCGCTGTCCTTTTGTCCCTGACTGTGGAGATTCATTTGAAAATACCTTGATGACTCTTAGCCACAAAACCTCCTTATCTGACCATATATGAATCACTTGAAAGGAGCCACATTTCTCTTAGCAACCAAAAATCGGTCTTAGCAACAAGACAGCTGGAGAATTTTGTTTTCCCACAATCACTCGTGGACAGTACGTTCCTGCTTTCTGCTTTCCCATGGCACCGCTGCTGCAGTGTTGACTTAGTGTAAGAACTGGTACAGATCAGACGCTCATAGCAGAGACGTCATTTGCCCTGCAAGCGATGATCTTTCTTCCTTTGATGCTGTTTCCCTTAGGAGAGAGTGCAAGGAGTACTGACTGCTGGAAAGCTCAAAATTTAAATTTTCCCCATGACAGAATCACTACAAAGAAATGTGTGAGGAAGCCGACAGCTTCCCAAACCTTGACTTCCCCCACAGAAACCATAGCGGAGAATGAAAGTACTAGCTCTGAAGGCTCACAGCTCAGCCTCTCTGAGCAGATGTTCATGTTGAAAACAGGTAGAAAGGCTGGATATAAGGTGACGTCTTTTTTCCCCCTATATTTTCTTATCAAGAATAATTTTTGGAGAAATATTATAGTGGGGGAAACTGGGAACATCAGAGCAATTGCCATTTTGGATGATGTCTTTACAGGACTGTTGGGGAAGCTTTCTGAGGAAGCAATGCTAAGATGGCATTTATGAGCAAAGCAGTGTTGTTGTAGTTGCCATCTCTCCATCCCACATCTGTGTAAGGAAATGAGTTATCATACGGATTTTGATCTTATTAAGAAATCCAAACTGCAGGTAGAAATAGCAAATGCACTCACACCTCACCCATGCTCCTTCTCTGTCTCCTGCCACAGGGGCTGTTGGCATACTGCATGCCGGATTGATTCCCTCGCTTGTCCTCAAATTGAAGACTGAGTCGGATGAAATCCAGGACCTCATCCTTGATACACTCTCCAACTGTCTGCGTGTGGAAGCTTCTGAAGCTCTAGCAACTGGTGCCATTGCTGTCCTGAAGGAGAAGCTCACACACTCATCAGTGGCCATCAGAAGCAAAGCAGCTTGGGTCCTGTTGGAAATTGGGTAAAGAAATCTGTCTATAATACTTAAGCCCAAGAAAGTACTCATTTCATGATGGAATCAATGTCACCAGTTTACAGTTGTGTTCACTAGGCACTGAAGCTGTCACATCTCACATGTAAAGCAATATCAGCCTGAATGCACTTATAAGTGGAAGACTTCTGAAAATCGTAACTGCTGTAAAAGCAAACAGATACGGATGGGGAAATGTCATTCATTCTCCTATTTCAGTGGGATTGAGGAAAGAAATAGTTTTCTGACACTGGCTGCTACGTACGTCAGTGATGAATCAGAAAAAGCAATCTTTATATCAAACACTGGATGAAAGGAACAACTTAAGTCGAGTGCCCTGCAATCACAACGTATCATAAAAGTGCTCAACAGGTAACTCGTTTAAAAAGGTCCCCAGACCATGTAGTTTACAAACCCATTAACACAAAACACTTCCTAATGTCCTGTAACAAAGTGAGGTCTTATAGGAAAGGAGAATATAGACGAAATGAGTCAGTCGGCAAGCTGAAATGCACCCAGAGTACAGACATCAGCTACGTTCTAGGGCCTGGCAGTAGCTGGGCCTTGTTAAATATTCCCTGCATTAAAGAGCCTGGAAAGCAGGAGAGAAAATTGACCTGGAAGAAGAATTAACTGCAGACTCCCAATTTAGCAGTTTTTGTAGCCTGTATAGGGTTCAACAGCCAGGTTTCTAATTGGATTGCCACTAGGACCACCAGCACGCTCAGTCCCACATCCTGTTACATGCTGTTGGCCATCAATCTCCAGTGTATTGTGGAAAGTGAAAAAAAATCCAAATGTCACCTAAAAACAACCTAAAAATTGGTAAGCCCACACACATGGGTTGATACGATATCATCAGTATTGTATTGGCAAGCAGAGGTAACAGCCACCAGGCACAGACATCCCCTTTCTTTTCCTCCTGGCGGGGGGGTGGTGCTTGCCATCTGTCCAACAGCCAGAGCACTGCGACTCCAAAGAGAACAGAGAGGGGGTCTGTGTCGGCGCTGTGGTCACGAGACAAAGGGGGGCTGCAGGGGTGCGGGCATGGGGAGCAGCTGTGGGCAGCTGCCTGGGGAGCAGACGCAGTCAGCATAACCATCTTCTCCCCACAGGACTCATCCAGAGGGAAAGTCATCCCTGTGCTGGTGAGGCTGCTGGAAGACGCAGACCCTGAAGTCCAAGCTAGCGCAACGGGAGCACTGATGTTTGCCGCTGTGAAACCTCAGGGTGAGAGACGGGGCAGTTCTGTTGGCAGACGTTCCGGAAATCCAATTTAATCCAACTTGGTAACAAACCTTTTGCTCCCCTACTCCCCAGTTTCTGAGTGTTAAAGAACTTAGCGATTTCTTTACACCTGTCTGAGAAACTACTGTTGTTCCCCATAGTGTCCGGGGGGACATTATATTTCACCTGAAGTAGGCCAAGGAGTTATCGGTCTCCCCCACCTGCCTCATTTCACTCAGGGCTGCTCCAGAGGGGGAATGTTTTCCATTCAAGCCCAGCCCAGAGAGATGCATGTACCTGGGGCTACACTGAATCACCAGCCCTCCACAGAGGAGCACCACTTCCTGGAAACAATCTTTGTGGTTAGAGGCAGTTTCTCGCTCATGGCTGGGAGAGGAATGGATATGAATAAGGTCTGTAGTTCTCCCAAGCAACACTGAAGATACTAACTGCTAAATTCTCAGTGTGCTGAATGAGTAATTAGACATAAAGGACTCAACAACAGCAGTTGTGTTCTGGTCCTCCTCTGCAACTGTCCCCTGGCTTCCAACAACGCAGGAGTGGATCTCAGTGTCTGAAAATAAAATAATGCAGGATGTTCTTAAGGGCATCTAACATCCCCTCCAAGACTTTATCCTGTCATTCGGTGCCTCATGTCTTCTTAGCTAGGTTCTCACAAATGAAATAATCATGTGCAAGGCAGATAAAATTCTCTGAGAAGGATCCTTGTTCTTAACAACAAGCAGCTGGCAGCTAGCTTCAGTCTTAAAAGAAAAGCATGTCCTACCTCTTTGCACTGCACCCCCTAGGGTGGGCACAGCTGTAGCTGGGCAGGGAGTAGAAGGCAGCAATTCAGAAGCATGTTGATTGGACGTGTAACACATTTTAAAGCCCGTTTATGTCCCCACAGGGAGATTTGCAGCCCTCGGTGCTGCAGCCATTCCACCTTTACTGAAGCTGGTTGCTGAGGAAACCAGCAAAGCCCGTCTGAGCGCAATCAAAACCCTCACCATGCTGGCTGAGCTACCCGAGGGCCGCAAGACTCTCCTAGAGCATACAGCTACGTTTCAGCAGTGTCTGAAGGATCCCTGTGAGGCAGTGAAAAGAGCTGCCAAAATCGCCATCAGTGTCATCACATGGAAACCTTGCTGACAACGTGACGTTTGGTGGAGGTCTGTTGCCCTCTGTTGTTGTCTGGCTGTAAGAGTTGCATGATTAGACCTTCACAACCAAACTTCTCTTCCTCCATTACTCTGGATCAACCCTCCTGAAAAGTCCTTGGTCAACAGTTTCACATCTTTATCGCAGGTCAGGAGCAGGGTAGTGTGGCACCAGCAGAGTTAGGCAGTCTAGAATTCTCCACTGGGACGTATTTCCAGAGTTACCAAGATTTTCCTGTGATAGAGAAATCGCTCCTTTTTGGTTTCTTCATAATGTTCTCTCTTTTCTTTCAAATCTCAGCCTATCCGGCATTAATTAATAACTAATTACATTAAAAAGGTTCATAATTAACCTCTCCAGATCTTGTCTATGCTGAGACATTGACCTAACAACAGGAATTTACAGGGGCGTTGCCGCAGACATTCGCTGAGCGTGGGATTAGAACCGTTGAGAGCATCACCGCAGAAAAAGCAACGGCAGTGACATAGAAGGGCTTTCCCTAGAGAACTGTGAGACTTTCCCAGCCTGAACCATAACCAGACACCTGTCAGGTGGTTCTCACAAACCAAGTTGCTGACAAGACTTGCCAGGGGTGAATCTGGTGGAGATGGACCCCACTGCCCTGGGCTAAGAGCACCTCAGCCTAACCCCCTCCCTGAGGTGGGATTTATCCGTGTGACCCTCCATCACCCCCAGCTAATGGCTTCTCGAGGAGAGCCTCAGTAGCAGCCCCTGCTTGAGTGTGCAGCCCTTCCCGAGCCCCACTCTCACTGCATGTGCCAGCAGTCTCTCCTCGGCCTTAGCTGCAGTGGTTGCGCCCATTTTTAAGCTGGTGAGGATCTCAACAGGCAGGTTTACTCCTTCCCTGTGCTTGGAGCCAGGCTCAGGGCTGCCATGTGCAGTTGTCCATGCTTAGGGTAAAAGGAAAATAAGGCAGAAAGGCTTTACTAGGGTGGCCCTTGGTAAAGCTGTGTTGGGGGCAGACCCCACTGCCTCTAACAGAAGAGGGGTCTGACCCTGTCTGAAGTTGGTTACAGTATGGAACAGAAGCGCCTCTGTGTTTGTGCTAGCACTTGGTGTGTTGTGGTTTTGTACAGCTGTAATTATCCTTTGAGTACAGACATTAACAAATGTAACGGAAATGGAAGTGTTGTGCCAGAACTGAAGAGTTTTGCTGTTGTGGGTCACTTTTGGGGAAGAAGGAGGGGGCGAGAGGAAAGCTGATCCTCACGTTACAGTCCAACAGGAGCAGGATAAGACAATCTCCATAGGCCCCTTCCAAGCTCGAGTTTTCTATGAGTAAGAGCTGTCTAACCAGACAGATGAGGAGATAAACAGAACAGAGACCTCCAAAAGGTCAATTCCCTACTCTGCAGTTTTTAATATTTTTAACTTTTTTTTTTAAAACCCTTTTACTTCACAGAATTGAGAGTAGCACGAAGTTTAAGCTGTTTGACAAAGCAAGCCTATCCAGCAAGACATAAATTGCCTGAAGGAAAGAAGGTGGCTCCTGTGTTTAGAGGCGATGGGCGGTTCAGTAGCATTTTACGCACGGTGTCGTGGAGGCAGGTCGCTACAGACATGCTGCAAATCCCTTGTCTGCAGTTGTGTGGGATTTAAGGGGCATGAGCCGAAGGGCTGGGCAAAGAAATGAAGCCAGCCAGCCAGCAGCACAAATCCTCAGCGACCAGGGAAGGTGTGACAGCTCAGCTGACTCAGCTTCACAGGAAGCCCCATGTGTTTTCACTCTGTTTTTGCTCTCCCCTGGTGTTTCTGTATCTAGAAGTTACCAGGTTGTAGCCACAAAAGAAGCTACATCACCTGTACCACAGGTTATTTGTCAGGGTTGCCTTTCCCTGGCAGAAAGCCAGTCACACTGCAAAACGCCTTACCCTTGCGCAAAGCACAAACTTACTCTCTAGGAGTGATTAAAATGTTTCTCTTCCATAACCCGACCAAAGGGTGAACTTCCTCTCCTATAAGGATGTGATTTAAAAGTATGGAGTCAGTTGGATTCATTCCCTCTGGGCAGGATCTGGGAGGAACTCTGCCTTTTAAATACGCTTCACACGCGTCAGGCACTCACGTGCGATACACACTGATGCCAGGGCGCTTCCAACGCAATAAAAGAGCCAGGCAGCTTAATAACGTGCTGAATGTTCAGCAAAGGACGAGGGAACAGTGGAGGATGGTAGTCTTATCCACACATAAAAACGGCTGCAGGAAGATTCAGCAACAATGATCGTTGTAGCTCAGTTCCACACTTCCGTCACAGCCTTCCCTGTTAATTCAGGTGTCACACCTCATCAAGTTAGCAAAATAATTAGCTGGTCAGCTGGAGAAATAAGAGCATCCAGGCTGAACTGCTCTGACTAGAAGGAACGTAGCTGACTTGGACCTTAGGTACCGCATTCTGAGCGCCTGCCGGGTCATGGCTGCGAAGGCAGTATGAACTGTTTGCAAATAAGGCTCCATGTGGTATCAACACGCTTGTCTTACATACATGCACAAACCAGAAATGGAACAGAGCCCTGCCTGAACTCAGGCATACATTCCAAAGCAGGGAGTGTCCCCCCGTGCTTCCCACGACATTTTTCATTAAAAAATAAAAAAACAAAGTCATATGAAATACGCCTAGAAGTGAGAGATTTCTCTAACGAAAAAATAGAGTCTGGGAAAGTCAGATTTGGCTAATTACATTAAACCAGAACGGCAGAACACCTTTTCTGTGGCTAGACACAAATCTAAGATGCTGAAAAATTTAAGCTTGGCACCTGTTTTTAGCAAGACAAAAATTTTAATTTGAATTAATGAAAACCATTTTACTCATTTGTTTGAAGATACTCTGAATCAAAGCTAAGTTTTTAATGTTACAGGCTCTGACACTGTAAATAAAAATGCTGCACAGAGTAAAGATGAGCTCACACTTACCTCAGGCTGAGGTTCTTCCAGGCACCTTAAGACACACAGGGGTGCAGCACAGGCACAGCGACTCGGCTGTGAGTGCTGCCAGGGCAGAGGGTGGCACAACAGCTCCGGGGAAGCTCTTCTTTTTCTCAGCTTCCCATGATAGATGACAAGATGGAGTGTTCTCCAGGAGGGGAAAAAAGGCAACTTATCTCCTTAATAGCGAGGGTAGTAACCTCAGGCACTGCTGTTGGTTATGCTGTTAGAACAACTGGTAGGTATTGGAGTGGGGGCAGCTTGACTCCATCCTTTACATTCTCCAGCACAGGCCTGTGATACACACTCCATGAAAGAATGCCACCAACCACCAAATAAAACCAGGGGGGGATTGCATTTCTCACCTCTTAGTGCCATGCCCCACTCTGACACTAGCTCTTGCCATACATCTGAAGTTAAACCCAAAGGACGCTCACTGACCGCTGCTCTCCTCCCTCCCCTTCTCCCCACCACAAGGTAACCCTGCAGGGGCAGAACAGAGACCTGCAGCCAGCACAGCAGGTTGCTAAATACATTTAAAGACCCAGCAGCCTTCCTCAGACCAGCTGGGCTGTGACCCCACAGCCTGTGCATAACCCTTCCCTATCCAGTCTGTGTCCCAGGAATGTCAGCTGTATGCCCTCCTCCAGCTCCCTGCTGCAAACCAGTGCATTCAGGTGTTCTTCAAAGCCAAGACCCAGGGCTCTGTAGCTTATCTCCCCAACGCCACCACTGCTGGAGGTGACCTTTGAGTGGAGGGTGTCCCTGGCTGTGGAAGGGGGGTTGGAACTGGGTGGTCTTTAAGTTCCCTTCCAATCCAAACCAGTCTGTGATTCTATGGATTAATCACTACTCTTTGGTCGCCGCTTCTGTGTCAGCTTTTCTTCATATAAGCATCCCTAATTTGGCCGGGGCAGAAAGTGATCTGAGCAGGAGTTGCCATCGCAGCTGCTGACCACGCTCTGACCTCAACTGTCACTTCCACCTGGAGAACTCAGCCTGTGCCATGGGCTAATTAACCACGGACAGGCATTTCGTTAAAACCCAGCCATGGTTACTGCAAGTCTGTTCCAAGCCACAGACCTGCCCTCCCCTGGCATTTCAGTGTATGAGCTTTTCAATAACAAAATAGGAATAAACCCAAATTCTGCGTTCTAAGAACAGAGTGTTCTCATGATTGTTAATAATTAACATTTGTGAGGTAGTTGGATACATTTGTTATGGGTGATACAGAAAAATGAACACCTAAGTGAAGAGTGGTTACCCTTTTCCAGGACTTGCCCTGAAATGATGTAATAAGTCTCAAGTGGAATGTGGGATTTGTTCAGTGTGTTTTCTTGATATATCAGTGTTGTATTTCACTTACACTGTCTCTGGGAAACAGAGGGTTAGTCTTCCAAAATTCTTTAATCCTGGGGAGGAAAATGAAGTGACAGTGCCCGATTAGCCAGGAGATCATCTAAAGGCTGCTCAGCCTGCCAGGAAATCACTTGTGTTGCCTTTGTCCAAAGGGTTGTGTAATTTCACTGTATTTTTCCTTCTGTAGCAAAGCCTGACAAGGAGGGATCTGGGCAATCCTCGTTAAAGTCTTCCTTGTTTGCTTGTCACCCATTACTATCACCCAGAGCCAAAATCCAGACACCAAATTAAGTTTCGCTGTCTTCCATCATATTATATAAAAATCCCATCATTTTGTGGACACCAAATACTTCAAAATATACAAATACTTTAATACATACAAGTCTTCATAGTCCGTTAAATATAAGTAATTCCATGGTCTTTAAAATTCTCTATCACTGTATTAACGGTAAGAAAAAGGTGTGCACTGGTGTTTATATAGCATTGATTTGATCTGGCCTACGCAAACCTTCCAGTACGCTGCAGAACAGCTTTCTCCTAGAATCCAGCGCGTTTTGGTTTAGATCCGAATGAAGAACAGGAACTGTCAGAAGATGACGAAGTGAGAGTGATTAAAGCTGCAGGAGTCACACCAGTGTGGTGCAGCAGATACAGAGATCCTACGCTGGCCTCCTATTCAGATGCACTTATTCCCAGTCCGGCGCATCCTCTGCACGACTGAGACGCTTTGAGACAACGCAGCGTCCCACGACACGTGTGCAACAGGAACAACAACTGTGGTGCAGCTTGACTGCAACCACCCATGGCATCTTTTTACACTCCGTTCCCCAGGAAGTTGAGTTAGATGATAAGAAGATCTATTGCTGTTTGCTTTCAAGTGTTAAATCCATCTTTTCCTGTATCTCCAGCTGGGATCAAACTTATCAAGTGGAAGCAGTCAGCTGGGTCTAGCTGATACCCCACAGCTGCGACTATTCTCCCTCCTGAACTGCTAACTCATGCAGCACGAGTTCCATTTCTCAATGAAATCTTCAGAAGAAAGATTTACAGCTTTGCAGAAAAGCAGCACAGGGCCCTCAAATGTACTTGAAAGGAAATTGAAACCCGGCGCGCTGATGCTTTGGACTTTTAACCCTGTGCACCGACTGGTCTGTGGTACGGTCTGTAGGAAGAGGCGATACGTTAACATCAACCCACAAGAAAGAGGCAGTTGTGGGTAGAGATTAACGCTGGCATGGCAAGATGGGAATTGATCAGCGAGAAATAAATATATATACGCACACACATATATCTTAAATATATATATATGGTGCATGTATATAAGGTATTGTATATGTATATATAATATATGCATTTTGTATAAAAAAGGTTCACATTCAAGTATAGACACATTAAAATATGAAGAGAAGAGGAGGTTTTGAAGTCAAGCTTGAACAGAGAATCTGCCGTAAACAGAACTTTTACTAAGATCATCGAGACCTGTTTTCCCTAATTCCAAAATGCGATGGGTTCAGACGGTTACTGTAGTGTTCCCCCGGCTGCCGAGAAACACAACACAGTGAAAAGTGAGAAAAAGGGCAAAAGTTCTACTGGAAAGTTAGCTATAGTGTCAACACAGCAATATATACATCAATCCTTTACTGCAGGTATCCCCTGCTTGGAGGGAGCCAAACCAATTTTTTAATTTGAATTCATAATACGGTCCCTCGGTGGTTGTGGGGGTTTTGTAGGCAAATCATCGTAGCTGAAGGGAAAAGAAATCCGAGCGATCAGAAGAAGGGGGGGTTGAAAAATCAACCCTAAAAGGTAGTTCACAAACCCTGCTATGAAACATGGCTCATGCAGCCTTGTTCTACCCCTAACATGAAATGTATCACGAGCAGAGAGAATATTGGATGGAAATTCTGAGCCTCCATTAGCCCTGGACTGATTCAGTGTCAAACAAATTCTCTCTCTTGAACTCCCAGTGGCCTTCATCTTTAGATTGTGGAAATTATGGTCACAAAATCAGCAACTCAATCACCCTGATTTTTTACACACGTAGACAATGCAAATACTAAGTGTATCTAACTCTGGAAATCTACAGGTCATCGGCTTTGCTTGAGGATACAGTAGGGCTCAGAACTGTCATCAGGGGTTATGCAAAGAAGGCATGGCAAAACACAGCCACAGTCAATAGGATGATGCCATTGATGTTCACAACATTTCTCCACAGCGGCACTTCGCTCGTGTCAGTCAGTTTCTTCTTCAATGCTTCCTCCTCCTCCTTGCTCAGTTTGGGACCTTTCTGTTGGTCTAAGCCACAGAACCAGTTGTACGCCTTCTTAAAGCATCCGGGTTCTTCACTGTCCTCGTTAACTGGAAGGAGTAACACACCGGTCGTGAGATGCACGCACGCACCACCAGAAGAGCTCTGTGGCTGAGGACACTCCCAGAGCCGGGGCTGCAGCTCTGATTGGTGGGCAGACTTACACGGACACACTTTAGTGCAAGGCAGTACAAGAATCAGGTTAGTGGTGTGTTTTCACAGCTCACCTGGAAAAGGAGTGATTTTCTGCATGGTGCAGGAGAGCCTTTTGCAGAAGACACTTGTGCCTTTTGCAGCCTAGAGAGCTGGTCTGGTACTGGAGAAGCAAGCCATGCCGCAAAGCTTAAACTCCAGCTTTTCAATACTTTCTACACTTCTAATTAAAAGACAAATAAATGGATTTGTGGATACTTGTGAGAGGAAACTTGGCAGAACCAGAAAGCAGCAAAGAGAGCAGGAGGGTTTGCCCACATGGATGTCTGGCAATTGGCTTTCTTTGTGCCTTCCACAGCATCCTTCCTGCTTCAATCCTGGCTACTACCCACTCTTTATCGTTTCATCTCAGACGCTGGAGTCGCAGGCGGTTCTGCCGATGCACGCCCCCTCTGACCTAAAGCATCTCCCCTGGCTCAGTCCTACACCTGGCACCAGCTCCCTAGAGAACAAGATTTGCTCCCTTCAAATCCACTTTGCTTCTGATTTATACCGAGCTCGATGGCTTAGTAACAGGCGGCTTGCTGGGCATTTAAAGGTTTTACTGAGGGGGGGAGGAGTGTGTCTCAATATCAAGCACATTTATGTTTCTTCAGGAATGAAATAGGGATGCTCAAAGATATTCGATAGAATCTATAGATATCCAAGTTACCTGATTCCTCATCTTTTTCATCAGCTTTGTCCTGCTCCTCATCTGCATCGAGATCAATGCGTTCTTCTTTGCTGTTCCGCAAAGACCAGCACAAGCGGTAAAGCTGCCACAAAACACAACGAGTCCGTAAATCTGCAGCCTTACGACACAGGGACAGGCCAGTCTGGCCAGCGCACAAACAACCCTACGACCATGGCACCCCAGATGTCTGCGAAGTCAGTGGTTAAGATTGTTAGGGGTCACTGAAGATTCGTGACAGATAATGAAGACTATTTCCTGTGCTTTCTTACAAGGACCCTGTGATGTGGGTCGCTGAACTGCCTGGAGGGAACGTACCGAGTACCAGTGGTTTCACCGAGCTCCGTTTCTCGAGGAGCAGGACTGCAACAATACTCACATGTACATCAGGAATGGGCTTAGTCATGAAGGAGATGGCCAGGATGACGATGGAGGAAACCCCGAAGAGAATCATTGCGAAGTAAAGGTAGTGAATCCCGCAGATGATGAATGGGCAGTTGGAAGGGGTCACACAGCTGCCAGTTCCGTAGGCAAACTCTGCGATCATTCTACCGAGTCCAGCCAGCAGCCCAACCATCAGGCCCCAGAACGCACCCTGCAAAGCGACAGAAGGTATCAAAATGAGCAACTTCCGGCATGGAAATAAGCTCCAACATGGAGGTTGTTACATGTTCTGCTGGCTTTGGCACATGGGTTTTAACCCCGATACTTTCAGTGACTGTGTTTGCAGCTCAGTGTATGAATACAGCTGACAGGGGCAATGACCAACAGCTCAGAGTAGGGAGAACACCTTACCCAGCTCACTCCTCAAAGTTCCCCTGTCTCCACACAACACTCCTTACACAGGATGGGCTCTAGCCACAGGCTACACAGCCCAAGGGCTGTTCTCATCTCTCTTTTATCTTTGAGGCTAAATCCCTGACCGTTCTACCCTGAGGGAACCAGCTAGCAAGTGTGTGTCACTCCTCCGGAGACACGTCTCTGGTTTATTTTCTAATGATCTTGTTAGCACTTAGTTAAAAGTTAATTCTCAACACTTTCAGTGACTGTTTGCTGCTAGGTTTATATTAGTCTAGCCCAAAGTATAAAAGATGCAGAGGCATGTCTGGGCACAATTTGAAATATGGGAAGTTCTGTTTAAACATAAATATATTTCTTTCTTACTGTAAGGGTGATTGGAACACGTGACCTAGAGACATCGTGGAGTCTCCAGCCCTGGCGATACTCAAAACCCAACTGGGCAGGACCTGAGCATCCTGCCCTTGTTAGCCCTGCTTTGAGTAGGGGGGTGGCACTAGCCCAGAGGTACCCTCCAATCTCAACCATTCTGTGAGTTGTGAAGTGTCGTGGTTTAACTCCGGCTAGCGAAAATACCACTACATCCAGCACATAAAGTCAAAAAACTAATGATGGTAACACAAATTTGCAGTTCCTGATTAAAAACTGTTTGAGGTTGAATGCTATGTCTAAGAACAAAACAGTGTTAGTTATCCAGTGGTCCAAGTTACAAACCCATTTTGGCGTAAAACAAGATAATTCCCTTTCTAGCAGAAAGAAGAATGATTCTGAGCAAGAAATGTTGATAAATCTTATGAGTAATTATAATGTTGGAATTTATCTTATGCAAAACTCCAGTTCTCAAAAGCTTTGGTGCTTGTCTCCCCTGTTTACCCAAATCTAAAGCGGGCAGTGTACCCAAACCCCCAAGGTTTACACTGAATTCTTTCAGGTAAACTTCCCGCTAAAGTCAGTGACAGATTTCCATAAAGAGCATAAAGACTCAATCCATTTGTGAGGCTTAGCCATCCTGGGATAGGAAATGGAACACCCCTCGTGTGTAAAACGGGCTTTTCTTGGATATACACACCAATAACCACTGAACTGCCCCTGAGAGAACAGAGTGAGAAAAAAGTTTGAGGCATATTCAAAATCCTTCTCTCTCCAAGCTTTCTCAGTGAACTCCTCCTTGGAGAAGGAACCTGAGCAACAGGGCAGTAGTGTTATTTCTGGTATTCTAGAAAGGAAACTGTATTCCTGAGCCCTGAGTTTCAGAATGTCTGAGAGCCCAGTTGCCACGACTGGCCTATGGTCCCGTCGAAGCACGTGACAGACCTCATGCCTTCAGAGGTACTCACAAAGGCTTAAGTACGGTGTTTCTCAGGTCACTGCTCTGTGAGCCAAGACCAGTAATTCCCAGCCTGGCTCCTACCAGCAATGGGAAACCACGCGTCAACCAACAGCACGTTCGCTTAGAAGAGTGTTGACAAAATATATGGTGGGCAAGAGGAAGGTGAACTGCTTTATGTTTCCTAAAGGAGTTTGGTGGCCAGCATCCTGAAAGATTACTTTCAGACATGGCCCTGTAAGCTGTCCCCTTGACACACTTCTTGGCAAAGTGATAGATAAGTTTCAGAGCTACCTGGGAATTCCTAGGTGACTCTTTATTTATCAGATTAGCACAGAACTTCTTTAAACTCCTCTCTGAAACTGCAGGCATACCTGGGGCATGGCAACACAGAAGCCCTGGGCTGTGGCAGGATCAAAATAAACAGGGAGAAGTTGCTAATAAAAGCCACCAAATCAAAAAAGTTGTGCTAAACGATCCTGCAGCATAGCTGGGTCCTAATTCATACTCACCTGCTCGTTGACCCGCTTGCAGAAGATGGCAAGCAGGAAGACGGCCGCAATGGGAGGCCCCAAGTAGCTGGTGACTGACTGAATGTAATCGAAGAGCTGCCCGCTTTGAGCCGACTGCACCACAGGAACCCAGGCAATGCTGATGCCGATTAAAACTAACATAAATGCCCTGTGAACACAGCCAGATACTCAATTAGTCACCTGCTTAGAAGCATCTATCAGCAAGGAAAAAACCCAACAATCAATCAATAATTTAAATGTCCATTTTGTATTTCAACCAGCAAAATCAATGATAATGGCCAATTACCACCGGACAAAAATCCAAGTTGGATACTGTGTCTGTCAAACCCCAGTCAGCAAACAGCTAAACATGCAATCAAAACTTTTTTCCTTTGTTTGTTACGTCCAGAGACTAATGGACGGTGGATCAGCCGGAAGAACGAGGACATTGATGCTGCAGTGTGGTCTAGCACAAAGCCTGCAGAGGTGTTTTACAGTAGTTCCCTCTCAACAGCAGTACAAAGTGTTGAGAATTAGTTAAGCTACTGCGTGCCCATTAAATTGGAAACAAGGTCTGTTTTTTTCCCAAAGGAAAGTGTCGGCGGGACAGTCCGTGTGGTCATAGAATCATAGAATGGAGAAAAAATAGTTTTAAAGGAAATAACTATGTAGTTACTATGGTCATAGGAGGCCACTGCTGCGCTGCCCGAGCGGGTTCTCACGCCGGCACTTGGTGCCCGTTTTGGAGGCCGCGGTCTGTGCCGGCTCTGCCTGCGCAGCTGGGCAGGCCGGGCTGCACTCACCTGCCAGCCAGCATGAGCTCCTTCTCAGAGGGTCGCGACCGAATCTTGGTGTAGATGTCCATGGTGAACAAAGTGCTAGCGCTGTTAAAGATGGAAGTCAGGGAGCTCATAAGGGAGGCCAACATGACTGACAACATCAGCCCCCGCAGACCTGAAATACAAAGACCCGTGAACCGGGATGAGCATTCCGTTAGGAGCCTCAGCACATGGCAGCGTCCCTGGTGCTCGCCTGACCCTTGGCGTCGGCCAGCCCTGAGCGTGGCTGGCATGTTTATGTGCTGATGCTGCCTGACATTCCCCTGCAGCGTGAGCTGAGTGACCTCTGCGCACGGCAGCGACAGGGCAACTCTTGGGCTTCAGAACATGGGTACTTCTCTCGTGACTGTTGTCTGATTAAATGCTGGAATAATAAGAAATAAATACAAAGCAGACTTTCCCCAACAGTTATGGAAATGATTCCTCTTGTTGGCAGGCGAGTGCTCACTTCCTTGTGGTGTATTTGTAAACCGGTGGTTTGGCAAAAGAAGTTTCTGTGACTGTTTGAAAATCTGAGGAAGCCACTTTTCCAGAGGGTGTGATCTAGTCACCGAAGCCGGGGGAAGTACTGTAGTATTTTAGTAACTCTATGTAGAACAGAATATGAAGTAATACGCTGGGGAAGTACTAAAGCTCTAGGGCAGTACCATGGTCTGTACAATGCCATAATCTGTCTTTCTTGCCTCGTAAACCAGCTCTGTGCCTTTCTGCAAACATGTGTCTCCCCCGAGTACACAGTCCAGAGCCGCGTCCTATTCCCCATCCAACAGGAATCTGGGGACGATACGCACACAAGATATCTCTCCTCCCACCTCGGTGGGTGCAGCAGGACTGCGGGTGCATGTCTCTGCTCAGAAATCCTGGCAGAGACAGTCCTTTATACAACACTGGCAAAGGAGGTTATTTTTTACCTTCACAGAAAGGGAGCTCAGTTACCATTCCATCGCCCAGGATTTGGCACTGGGAGCTGATCGTCAGCCCGTAGCTGCTCTGCACCTACCACGCCGACCCCTTTGTGTAACAGCACATGGTTCTAGCAAGAATTTTTGAACTAAATACGGGACTTGGGCTCCCTCTATCACCTGTTTTTACAGTCTGGCAGCCTCCTAAAATGAACAAATGCAAGTGTCTTACCATTGGGCATAAGCTCCACTACCATTTTTGGGTAGGCAATGTTTGTACAGCCGACCGCGGTGCCGCAGTACTGCTGGCAGACTTCGGGCACAACACAGGCCACCACATCTGCGGAGAGGATAACGACACAGGGTTGGTCAGGGTCATATTAGCAACGGGTTTTTCCCAAATTAGCACAGCTGCTAAAATTTATCTCTGTGTTTAACCACTGAATTGACATGATATCATCCCTGGCTTGCTGGCAGGGAGGAAGGTGTTTTAAGCCTCTCTCCTTCTTTTCCTTGCTAAAAGAACTTTGAAAAGTGCTGCGGGTCCACAAACAAAAATCATTAATTTGTGAGACCAGGACTGAACAACACAAGGAGAGTGAGTAGAAGAACAAGCAGAGGAACATGAAGACCCCCTCCCTCCCTCCAGCCTGGACATCCCTGCCTGCTGTTAAACACGCGGATGGCTAGAGGGGAGACCGGCATTTCCCCGGCTGCTCATGGCCCAGATATTGCTGTCCGTGAGTGACGACCCTCTTCCTCTGACTGCCAGCAGCTCTGGACAGCATTTTCCACCCATCCAGAGTGGGGCTGTAAGAGACATCTGGGGAGGGACACTGTGGAATTTCTTTCCCCTAAACCGGGCAGCAATAGCAATAGCAGAAACCTGGGAACAGCGACAAGAGACAGTGGGGGACCTGTGGCTTCTTCCAGTGTCACTAGTTTTGTGCATACATGTTCCTGGACAATTTGGGTGACGAGATGACAGTCTAACAGGTACGTTGGAAGGGACGGAGAATAGGGAATTGAGAGATGGGCAGCAAGAAGAAGCTGGCATCTCCGTAGGGATATGCATACCTGTATACAAAATTCGGCTGATCATTCCAGGCATCACTATAATAAACATGGGCAAGAGTTTCAGGTATCCACACATGATACACCCAGCCTTCACATGGGACATGTTCTTGCCAGAGAGACATCTTTGGACAATAACCTGTCAATGAGACACCGCAAGCGTGTAGGGCTCAACCACGAACAGCATTTCCATGAACACACCGTGCCAGTCCCACGTACAAGGTGCTAAGGCACTTTGTAACCCCTGTAGTAGTGAAAGAGCCTATTTACTGTTTCTGTCACTGGGAAAAATAAAAGCTGCATGAAAATCAAAGGATATACCTGAAATCAGTAAAAGAAAATACCGTTTATCCAGTGCATGTTTGAGAGGCAAGACCCTCTTCCACAAGACGTTCTTAAAGCAGATAGACTAAAAGGCCAAACAGGAATACTGGCTTTTGACGTAAGCTACAGCTACAGTTACGCGGGGGTTTGTTCATCTGGTTACAACTTGTGAAGATTACCGTTCTCCCAGTTCAGAGCGCGGGTGGGTCACCACTAGAGACTGGACACGTTCATGTGTCAAAGTTGCAGGAGCACACTTTTCTCTACTCACGTCAGTGTGATCTCGCAGGGAAACTGGAGCAGGGATTTTAGGGAGAGGGGAGGAGGATTAGGGAAGAGTCTAATTAATTAGACTCTTTAAAACAATTAAAAACATCCTCCCAAGACTGTGCATGCAACACTGAAAGCTGCACAAATAGCAAACAAGCCAGTATTGCTGAATGGGGAAGCACACCTGGGTTTCCTAAGTAAATGGTCACATCACAGCCTCTCCGTGGTTTTGCACATGGTCACACATTAAAAATGAGAAAGGAATTCTACATAGTCTCTGCTGGGCACAGTGTATAGGACAAACTGAAAGAACACCCGTTCCCTTTGCTCGCATGTGGGAAGGGTTTAGAAACCAGAAACTGAAACGTCACTGACCAGTCTGGAAATATCTGCCAATTCGGTGACCCAGCTTTGAGTGGCAGTGGGGAGAGCAGCCCCAGCTCACACTAGACTGCAGAGCTTTGGGTGCATTTCCAAGGCGTGTGGCTTCCACCCTACCTGATCCGTGCACCAGTACCACATAGCAATGATGCTCAAGCCGAAGACGAGCCCTGGCCAGGGCAGATCTCCCGTGACAGCATCTCGGAAGATGTGAAAGGAATCCTGCCGAGGAGTGTAGCATTCTGCCTTAATCGTAGTGTTCCCATAGGAAATATTGGATGGAATTGCTTCCATGTACTTCTTCATGAAGACATCATACCCTCCTACTTCAGCAAATGCTGAAAAATAGAAAGTGAAAGTGACGGTGAAGTATTTAGTAGTGAAATCTCAAATAGAGCTAGAGAACGTGAGGAAAACACCTCCTCAGGATGGACGTAAAGGCCTGGCCAGCACACACCAACACGTCCAGCACACAGCTCACAGGGTGTTGTAAGCGTCTGTGCAATCTGAGCACCACAGTGACCTCTCTTTTCAGGTTTCTGTATCGCTCTCCAGTGTTGGTTTAGGCTCCAACCTCTCTCTCATACCTGCCTTGCCAGGGAGTGGAAGAAGAGATGTTATTTCCGGACACTGTTAACCCAGGGAGAGCTGCAGACAAGGTCTTGCCAGCTCAGGTCAGACTGCAGCTACTTCTGTTGTCATAGTGGTGAAATAACTGAATTTCAGTGAAAGACCAGGAAAACCAAGCGCTAGAGGAAAACCAAGCGCTGAGTAACTGGAAGGATGAGGAAAGGACACTACAACCTCACAGAATCTTATCACTGCTTCTTTCTTTCTTATGATCCCTTCCTGTGAATTCTGTTTAACAGCCCGATTTCTGTTTCAAAATGCTTCGGGTCTTCTGGCCACACACACTCTCCTCCTCATCAACATTCCGTTGGTATCTGTTCTCTGCGCAGTGCAGTGACAGCCAGAGATCAACCTTGGGCTTACCGAAAATGTGAATGGCTGGGTTGGTTTAAAACAAGCCAGCAGCTAGAAACAGGGAAAAAACATGCAACGTGCCCACCAGCTCTTCGCTTTGGGTCCGAACTTGTCACGCATTAGCATCAGGACACTGATGAAATTATAATCTTCTTAAAAGAAGGTACCCTCCAAACTTCTCAGGAGTATCCTCATCAGCTGGAAGCAACTCTGCTTGTCCCTCATGAGCCACCGCAAGCCCTGTTCTGCCACGGCGCGCTCTGTGTCACCGGGCACACTCCCCTGTGCTTTGGAGACGGCCTGAAGCGCTTGGCGATACGCCTAGTTGTGGGCAACAGGCCTAATTTCTTCCCTGATAAATAGGTATAGGAGACAGAGTTCCACACTGCAGGATCCATTTCCATAGCCACAATGTGGGATTTGTGGTTGAACGTTCCAGTTTACTTCATCCAATTTACTTACCAAATCCCATGAGAATAAAGGATCCCACTACCATGATAAACGTTTGCAAGGTGTCTGTGTAAATGACAGCTGCGAGGCCACCTAATGGCAAAGAAAAGTCAGGACAAACAGGTCAGCCCCTGGGCAAATACCTCCAGGGAAAGCCTTTTCTTTGTACTTTTCTCACCTCCTCCCTCTTTCCAATCAAGACCACTGTGACTAACCCCTCTTTCAGGTTTCCGTTTCTCCCCTCTTACCCACCTCCCCTCTTCTCCTTCTTTCTGGCTCCCCTAAGCTCCCTGATTTACCAGGCTGCTCGGCAAACTCACCTGTGATGGTGTAAAGAGCCGTAATAGCAAGCAGGATAATTATGGCCAAATACAGATTCAGCCCTATGGCCAGCTGGATGAACACAGCTCCGGAGAATATGTCTGCCTACAAAAGAACACGACAGATGAAGCCACGCTTAAATTCACGCTGACGGCACACTACGCCTTCACGACGAGGGGCCTGAGCTCCAGTGCTGCACATGCACACCCAAGTGCAGAACGAAACCCCAGACCATGTTAGCGCAACTGCCAGGCTCCTCAGCGCCGTGCTGCTTCCAGCACAGGAGCTGTAACGCTCCTCAAAGGATTTCCAGACCTTTTTAACCAGCCCCTTTTAGCTAGGCCGCTCTGTGCTCACATACGGAGACACGGCTTAATAACAAACTACGTAAAACTTAGGTTACGCTTGCTGGGACGGACGCTGTCACTCCACCGAGACACGACGCGCTTCTCTTCATTTAGTGCTACCCTCCGAGTCCCTTATTTTTCCTTTGCTGCTTGCATACATGTGGTATAGCTAGTCTTGCTGGTTCGGGACGAACGGCAATCAAAGCCAAACATATTATCTCTATTTTTAAGTTCTTGTCAGAATAATTGATATCAGTTGGCTAACAGAAGTGACCTTTAGCTCTTGCATAAGAAAGGAATTGTTCAGGTTTCGGAGTAACACTCTGGGATTTCAATCACATCAAATCAGTTCCTGATCTAATCTGCATCACTCTTATTTATCCAAGTGTGCAGTCAGAGCAAGCTACCCCAGCGCACTTGTGACACGCTACTGTGCATCACGTCGCTGTGCACGGGAGGTTTGCATCTGTACCTATCCGTGCGCTGAGCACCCGGCTGACGGGCTCGCTGCCCGGCCCACCCGCACGCCTCCTTCCTGTGCCTACCACCTACACGTGGGCGCTCCCACCCTCATCTCACATCACAAGCCCTGGCAGAGTGCAGCAAGCTCAGGAGCTGGAAACGCTGCCGGAACAGCCCATGCGCAAGGTCTGAGGAGCACAGAAAAGCGACATCTCACGTGCCCCGGGGTAAAGCCTTGCTGGAGGGGCGGGAGGCTCCGCAGGCCGGACAGCCAGGGGCTGCCCTCCAGAGCAGGTACTTGCACCGCTTCCCTCCACGCCAGGCTGGGGAGAGGCAGGGCAGGGGCACTAATAAGCAGTTATGCAGGCTGGCTTGCTGGGAGATGCCGGATGAAGAAACCCTCGTCATTCCAGAGATGGTGAAACGGAGACTGCAGGGTATGATCTCACTCTTAGCTCACTCTGGAGAATGAGGAAGAGATAGGATCTGCAGCGAGAGCTCCTCCAGCCCTACGGCCCCGGCGTGCAGCAAACAACTGTGAAGCAGAGTGTGAATCACCACACGGGTCCCACTCCCCAAACCCTGCCTCGGGAGCAGCTTGAGATGATTTGATTTCGTACGGGTTTTACTTCGGAACCAGGAACCAGGACGTTCAGCTCAACCCCAGTAGCTCTTAGACCATGTCTTCTGTCCCTTCTCTCTACGGGAGTATTTTTTTACTACCGTTTCACACCGCTGCCCAGCCTGTGTCCCAGAACTTTCAGTTATTGTTCTTGGCTTTAGTTTAGCCTACATGGCATTAAATATTAATGGTCTTAAAATGACCCCCAGAAAGACATGCATAGTTAATTATTTAGCATCCTGAGCAATATATCAGCTTCTCCGAATTGCTGAGTTCCCTTCCAACTTCACTGCTCCTCCCTCACAATTACATTATTTCCTTCCAATATTTTCTTGGTTTACCATTAATACTTTTTTATGGAGACTATTTAATCCTTATCTGAGAATAGAGTCAGTCTTTACATTACAGGCCATCTCTCCAAAGCCACCCACAGACCATGCAGGAAGCGCTGGCAGAACACATGCCAACTGCATGAATCCAGCGGCAGCGTTACTGTGGGAGTCAGGGCAGTGACACGTACTCTTCGCCCCCCTACACCCAGGGGTAGAAGATTATCCTTCCACCTCCTCTTCCCCGGTCAGTCTGTACCCACGCCTACTACTGAAACCATGTACAATGGATGTAAAGGAAATGCTGTGATTCATTTAGAAATTCCCATTTACAATTTCCAATTTCTTCAAAAGCATCTTAATTGCCCTTTGTCTTGTCGTAACTTAGTCAACCGTTCTCCGTCAAGATTTTGTCTGTACTAGGCCTTTTCTTTGGTATAATGACCTGTACAACAGCAGTAGCAGCTAGCACGGCCCCGAGAATTGCTGTGGGCACTACTCACACAGTACTACATGCTTAGGCAGCATGTGTATGTGAGGCACCTGCGCCACAGAAATCCTTTGGACTTGTGTCCTGATCCCAAAGATCAACCCCTTGCAGCTTGGCCGTGCCTGGCAAGGGGTCGATCAGCCGCAAGGCCGGGGAGCAATCAGTAAGAAACACACCGAAAGCGTGCAGGACAAGAGAGGAATGGTGATGACCTTGTGCAGAGGGGTGCAAAGGGAACCTGGTGGTAGCGGGCACCGCGCCAGAAGGAGCGTGCCAGGAGTTACACCACCTGACGTTCAATACTGTTTGTTGGAAAGCCTGTAATAATGGCATTATGAAGAATACTAGGTAATATTTTCATAGAACCATAGAATCACAGAATGGTTTGGGTTGGAAGGGACCTTAAAGATCATCCAGTTCCAACCCCCCTGCCATGGGCAGGGACACATTCCACTAGACCAGGTTGCTCCAAGCCTCATCCAGCCTGGCCTTGGACACTTCCAGGGGTGTCTAAACTTCCCCACTTTCAATTTAACCCCATTACCCCTTGTCCTGTCACTACAGGCCCTTGTAAAAAGTCCCCCCAGCTTCCCTGTAGCCCCTTCCTGTACTTGATGTTAACACATCACGGAAGCAGCACATGCAATAAGTACCTCAGAAACGAGATGCTGCTCTTCCACAAGGCGAGGTGGCAGTAAGTATCGCTGCCAGTCAAGCCGATAGGTGTGACTGCACGTTAAGGGCAGGGCAGAAACACATCCTTCTATATCAAATCTCAGAAAGCCCCAAAGATCACAAGGGAGTGTTTGCAAAGGCAGCGGTCAAGGAAGTAAAATGCAAATCTCCCAGCGGGCTGTGGCATGGATTATCAACACATGGGTTTGTTTGGACATACACCACGCCATTGGGAAGAGAGACCTGCGCTAGCGTCGCTAGCACGCCTCTCTACACAGCACAAAGAGGTTTGCTACGGCCCAGGGTGGAACCCTTCCAGCCCTTCCCTTTCTGCTCTGGAGCTGGTTCATCTGGAGACACTCTGGGCTTGGTGTTGCACAGCACGGTACAGAAAAACCCACTCTGGCACCAGCTGGCAGTGCCTGAAACCTCCGAGGGCTTTGACTGTTCTGCCTATTCTAAGCTGGGGCAAGTAAAGCAGACCTGGGCAAATCCTGCCCTACGGAACCGAGTGACATCAGACAGCAGTGCAGAAGCCAGGTTTGTGCACTGCAGAAACCTGGGCCACATCTGTGCACGGGACAGCCACTGTTGGAGTTTCCCTGGGCAGATGGGAGAAGGGAGAAATGGTTAGAGGAACTTGTGTGCCACCTTTTTCCCTGCACGGCACAGCTCCTGGCAATTCCCCACACAAATCTGGGTTGATGGGAAGCTGGGATGAGCCACCAGTAGGGTGAGGCCCAAGTAATCTGCTGCTCTGTGGACCTCTTGACTACTGCTTGGCTCCCTAACAGGACAGGACCACAAGAGAAGGAGAGGGTGCTTCAGCTCATGGCCACACTGGATGCTTACACGGAGAAACTCTCTTGCCTGGAAGAAAGACGCTCCAACTGAAATGGGGTGAAATCCCATAACCAGATCCTCAGGCATGATAGAGGCTGGAAATAAAAGATAGATAGGAAATTCTGAGCGTACGGAACGCCTCGATGGGCTCATTACAAACACGCGTTGCAGGATAGGACTGGGAGTCGTCTGACTGGGAGATTTTCTCAGCTGCTAGAGCTGCCAGAACTCTGTGTCATACCTGCGATTTCTGATTGCGGTAGTTAAGCAGAACAACAGCAAATTAACTAATCCTTTGGAAATATACGGAAATCCAGCTCTGAGGCCAGCCCCACAGTACCAACCTGTTTAATTTATAACCTTTCTAAGGATCAGTTATCGTGAAGACGTGAGAATGAGAGCAAAAGGCCAATCTTTTAGCTTAAATTGCACTATTATCACTCAGCTCCCATTCAGAGGGCAAAGAGTAATCTGCCATGGCAACTTCTGCAAAACAACAGATTGAGGTATGCCTGAACTGTGGACTTCTTCAGAGCCTTGGCAGTTTGCAGATACATGGAAAACACCAGCTCCCTTCACTACTTCACAGCAACACAACCACTTAATTAACATTAACTTCATAGCACTTTAATCTTTAATGAGCAAGTGGCTGGTATAAAAGAACCTCTCCTCTTCCCTCTTTCACCTGGGCTGTTATAATTTCCCTCCTTTGCATTTCCCCGCTCCCTTATTTTCTAATTCCTATTATTATCTTTTTCCCCGTAGCCCTCTTGCTCTTTTCCCTCATCTGTATTACTGATGGCACGTTCACCAGAGGATGCTAAAACAGGTAAATATGGAGTTTGGGGACAAAAATTCCTGCCACATGTTTCACGGATCCCTAGAATAACAGACTGTAATACAAGTTTCTCTCCACGCCGACTTGTTCTAGAGGAGATCATAGGTAGAAGTAAACCTTGAAATGTAGAAAAGGAAGAGAAAGCACAACGAGCATCAAGAGACATTGCCAGGAAGGAGGAAACGTGGGGTGCAGAACAGATCCGGATACGCAATCTGTGACGGAATAAAGAAAACACAAAATCATATTTTTACAGTCCTTAGTTCATCCAAGGGCTCCAAATCAGAAGCAATTGACCAACTGTGTGAGCAATATTGCAAATGGGAGTTTCTTTTCCGTAGATGAATGTAGGGTGGAAAAATGCTGTGCAAGTTTTACTTACTGAGATCTTGGTGAAAATGTACAGGATCAGAGAAAGGACTGACAGGTAGACCTGAATCCGCTTCCCCCCAAAACGCTTCTTCAGATACTCGGGCATTGTCACCACCTGCAGGGAGGGCAGAGCAGGCGTCAGGCAGTGGGGAACAGGTATGGAGCAAATCAGAGGAAGCTTTTGCTACTCAGATACTCTAAGTGGAGGACAGAGGGAGGGGAGCTGCAAGGGCAGTTGCAAGGATGAGCAGCTCCAGGAGTCAAAGGAGAACCAGGAGGGAGTACCAACTGCTCCTCAGCTCAGGTGTCTGAACAGGGAATCCCCCCTTTTCACGTGTAGACAGCCATGACAGTGCAGTTCCGGCTCGCTCCGACCTCGTGCCATTCAGAACGGCTTTGCGATACTCAAGACCTGATCTGCAAACGTGAGCAGCAAGGAGAAGCGTAACGTGCGCTGTGACTTACCCCTGCTTTGATGTAGATGGGTACAAACAGCCATCCTAGGACCACCACAAATATCAGAGCCTGCAGCCAAGACAAGGTCATCTGCATTAGCCTCCTCTCTCTAGAGAGCTCTCCCCAAGACCCAACAGCAGCGAGGGGCCATTGCAACCACACAAACCTGGGGGGTGGGGGAAGAACTGCTCTATCCTTTGATTTACAGTGGAAAATTTGGGAACAAAATCTTGGCCAAAAATACTGTCAGGTATTATGCAGCCTGGATTTCATGCCAGATGTCCCAGAGAAACACAGGTGATAATAACATACTTTCCAGAAGAACAGCTGATTTCTGCTCACAGGGCTGCCCTCCAGTACCAAAGCACCTCTCAGCGTCACAGTTTTGTGACTTAAACAGCTAGCAAACGCTGTCTGACACAGTGGTACATATTTAAATTGACAAATACAGAACAAAATCCTGCTCTCAGGGCTGCACTCTGCACTTATTCTGTCCACAGGGCTTAGAGGGCTTTTTTAACTCCATCTTTTAGGTTCTGCCCTTAGATCAAAACCTCATGATGGACAAGGAGTACTGGGTCAGCTTCTGCTGTCATACTGATACAAACTAGAAATAACTGCAGTGGAATAGTAGTGACAGACAAGGACGATAACAGTCAAACCCGTTTTTTTTTTCAAGAAGAGAATCAGATTATACAGTCAAGAGCAGTAATTCCACTGTGTCTGTTACCCTCTAACCAGTCCCACTGTCATAAGCAACGAAGAGTGTATCTGCTCAAATACACACAGGCATCATCGCTTCCCCTAAACAACTGCTGTGCACTGTGTATTGACGCTGGTCAACGAAGAATCTCCCAGGAGATGAAGTGTTACAAGTGGATATGTTTCAGGAAGGACACAGATCCTAAAGATTTGAATACAGTGAAATTTCAAGCGATGCTTGTTCTGTTTTGTTTTGCTTGTTTTGGTACAAAGAGAAGGGGAATCAGGTTTGTTACAGGACTGGTGTAAGCATATAAAGATGAGAGGTTAACTGCGCACATCTCAGAGTCCATTTCAGCCTGTATCCTTCTCCTTAAATCTTTATATCATAGGAGTACTTGACTATTTGCAGCAACCAGCTACTTTTAAGGGAAAAAGCCAAATCCCTCAGGGTGATATGTGAATGGCATGCAAGGAAAGTATCGACCTATGTACACTCATTAAGTCCTTTGTGTCAGGGTATAATCCCTTCCATGAGGGTGAATGAAGCAGAACAAGGGCATTATTATCCACACCCAGAGACCTGAGACTACAAGGAAATTAAGGACTGAATTAGCTCATGTGAATCTCCGTGCTGTTGCAGTTAGCGCTACTCCTGGTACCCCAAGTAGTTTGTTTGAAGTCAGCTTGGGTATCTCTACCCTTTACTGCAACCATAAGCAAAACAGACACGTAATTAGAGGAAGGAGGAAGTAAAGAGGAAGAGATCGTGAAGGATGCCCAAAATTTCTTACAGCCTGAGAGGAAATCAAAGCCCCTTCAACAATTCTGACATAGCAAAGTGCTGTAAAAAATACTATGGATTGCAAAATTGAGAAATGCTTCCCAACATCCTGCAGCCTGAAAGTGCTCTTTATACTTTACAAGTAATCAAAAGGTACATCTAGAGAACAGACTTCACCAATTTATTTGGTTCAGATGCCCTCTAAAAAGCCTCATTCAACAGAAAAGGGTCATCATCTCCCAGTGGCTTGGACAAGGATCAAGGAGAAGCTAAAGAGTAGATTACATTGGCACTGGCTGGTCTGTACAGAAAACAGGTGCTGCCAAGAAGAAACTGTGACAGTCCTAAATTGTTAGGCAGTGTTATTGTGATTAACCTCTGCAGATAACCCTCATGTCACAAATACGCTCACCGAAAGGCACGCCACTTACATTCCATTCATATCCTCCGATGGCAATTCCTCCAGCTGCTGCTGTTCCTGCTATTCCCACAAAATGTCCACTGCCGATGTTACTGGCAAACAGAGAAGCACCAATCTGGAAATAGAAAGAACAGTATTTGGCTCTTCGGTCCTGTTCACGGTAACTTGAAAAACTCCGGTTCGCTTGGCAATCTGGACTCGTGCCTCTGTCCTCAGATGGCGCTGGTGAGAATGATGGACAACCAACTTCCTTGACAACTTTCAAGACTCCCCCTTACTGTTCCCCCTCAAACCTGAGACTCCAGCCATCGTATCTGCAACAAGGAGAAAGAATAGGATGTGGCATCGAAGATTTTCTTCCAGTTGAGTCAAACAGTTTATGACACCCATATAAGTTTTAAAATATTTGGAAAACTTGATTAAGTGACACTTGGGTGATATCCAGACAAGGAGGGAAAAAGACGTCGACCTGTCTTGCTCAAGGAGGAAATGGCAAGTGCAAACCCACTTGTCAAACCGGCACTCCCTTTCTCACACTCCACATATTCTCCGCAGCTAAACGTATCGTCGGTGAGAGTTTACAGACTTTGTACTTGGTTCAGTTCTAGTCAAAAGATGGTCGAGTACTGAATTAAATTCTGAAAGCTGCGTGGCAGAAACATCTGCTGAGAAAGTGCTTCTGGGAGACACGAACAATAGCAAATCAAGGAGCTGTGTTTAAGAAGTGCTGGGTCTCTAAGACCCCGCAATTTTGTAACGATCGTAAAGCAGAAGAGTGGCGAGAACACAGAAACTGATGAAGAGGGAGAGAGTAAAATAAACGAGAGGTTTACGTGGGATTACAGACAGGCAGGAGCTGCTCACACAAGAGAGACTGCCAAAAGATGTAATTCTTTATCAAATAGCTCGGACAATAGAAAAGATGAAGAGAAAGGCTGTGAGCTGCTTTTCCTCAAAACTAAACCATTAAAGGCAGCAGAAATGCCTAACGATAATTTACAGGGTCAGACACTGAAGGATGCAGGGTGAGAACTCAAGCATGCAGAAGAGGGTGGATTGGGTGTTGTCGGCAGGAGACGTGAGCTGGAGTAGTTCTGAGAGGAAAAGAGGCGAGTGAACACTTTGTTACCCATTTCTATCTTCTCTTTACGTCTCTGAAAGCTGCCAAGAAACGAGACAGGGTTGAAAACAAAAGAAAAGCATATAGAAGGCTCTGCTGAGCAGCCTCTAATGCTCCCACCTGAGGCAGACCTCTCATGTTGAAAGATCCCAAGGTGCTTAAAAATGCTTTTTTAGACATATGAACACAGGACCTGCATCCAGCCCATTCTCCTCATGTACAGGTGGCTGGGATATGTTTGGAGTCACCTTACAAAAGGCGAAATATTCCCTGTCTGTGACTCATTGGGAGACTTTTAGGGTCCTAAAATGTATATGAAGGGAAGAGTTACAGATTTCCAGGCCTGCAGTCACTGCAGTCACTATGCCTACAGGGCTATGCCGTAGCCAGCAGAAGCAACCATGCTCCTCTTCTCTAATCACAAACCAGATTTTCCTTCCCCATTTTTTATATGCAACCATTTTACGTGCAACAATTTTATATACAAATAAAATTCATCACAGGATTCCCTCTTTCTTTTCCAAGCTGCCTCCCCCTCTTTTCCTCAGCTTGATCTGCTTTCTTCTGGTCTTTGTGCAGACAAACCGTTCTTTGGCTGTGGCAGGAAATTTATGTCTCCAAGATCACTCAGTTCTGGATATTGGTTTTTTGTAGAAGCCTCTTGTGCCCTACAGAAATGGAACCAGTTTGTCAGATGACGGATATTTCTAGAGGAATGATAAGTGTTGCAACAAGCATTACCAAATAAGCCAGAAAGATCACTTGTAATACAGCTTTTTCTTCCAGCCTCCAAATGCCATTTATACCGGGCATCAGCACTGTTGTCCCGTGCTCTCCTTGGAGATGAATAATTAAACTTGAATCTAGGTTACTAGAAATGCAATCACCAGAAAAGATTAACCACATTAATCTCTGATTTTACTTAATGTGTTCCCTCTCCTGTTTCAAAAGCTTAAAATGTACTGCAAGCAGCCCCAAGTAACAAAAGCCGCTAATGAAGAACTTGAAGAACTGACAGCTGTAGCAGGCTCTGGCTCAGAGCCCGACACCCCGGGACAGGCTGTAGCGTTCACTGACCGCGCTGCATCCCCAGCTTCACACAGAGTGTGACTGTACTGTGGGACAGATACCAAACCAAACCCATGCAAAGCTACAAACCTATTTAGGGCCAGCGCAAAGACAAAACAGTGTGAGTGCAGACACCACCTTCACGTTGTACATTTTTCTTCTCTGAATTAGGAACACCCGGTGCAGCAGAACTGTAAGAGCAACACATACTAATATTGGATGCAGTTTAAAAAATGTTTTTGACTGTTACGTATACGTGGAAAGGTAGAACTTGACTTCATAGCTGGGAAAATGCATATTGCCCTTCAAGCTGCAGCATGGTTAAGGCAAGAGGGGTGTTTACCACATGTGCTTGCACCCCGTTTGCTGCTGATGCCAGAGGGGAAAGAGGAATTCCCAGTCTGCCAGGGCAGTACTTCAGGAGGAGGCAGAAGCAGACGGGCTCTGGGCCCAAGCTGTCTTGCTGAAGGACGTACTGCCGCCGTGGTTTTTGTAATGAAAAGGCCAATGGCTGGAGTTGCTGGACTTCCCATGGGTAGATGATGCCGTACACCTATGCTCAACCCAGAGAGCTCTGCGCTGAAACTGGGGGATGACAGAGAGAGACAGTTTTCTACAAGTGATAATTGTTCTCAGTGACTGCATTAGTGAACTGATTTTAAAAACAGATCTAGGAGGAAAAGTAAAGAAGAAAGTTGATGGAAAGGAACAAAAGCTGTTAAGAG